ATAATTTCCATTATATTAAATAATACAAACTACTATAACCAACCAGAAATTCTATAGATTGATTAGTTAAAGGTTAGGGTAGATAGATTTTATGATATTATATGAATTTATATTATAAAGTATAATAAAAATTATGTATCGGGTGACTTTAACCCGGGTGAAAATAAATAAAAATTCATTTGTCAATTTATAATAAAGTTAGAATTGGAGATTATTTAATACCATTTTTGTGTTGTCATTAAATTTTTCAAAATTTTAAATCTTGATAAATTGGGCCATAGAAATTTTACTCATTAAAAATTGATTTGGTTAAATAAGATTGTGCTAGCTCATCATGATAAATAAAATTTTTGCATTTATAAAATTGATAATTTGAGCAAATTTTAATTGTTCCAGATAAGCAAGAAAGATGAAAAGATTTAATATCATGACTATGCTATGCTTCATTTTTAAATTCTGTCAATTATTAATCAACGCATATTATTTTTCGACCTAATGACTCAGTTCAACTCTTGCCAAGACTTATATAATATTGATCTTACATAATATCGATAGTAAATATAAAAAAAAGTTATTTTATCATTATGCACGTTTTTGTGATATTTACGGACTTCCTGAGTTGTAAAGTCTGATCTTTTAATAACCAGATAAAGTGCTTGAGATAGAAATTATTACGAATGTTTATTATAAATAGTTAATTATATTAAAAAATCTGGACATTCACTGCAAACGGATATCAGGCGAATATTATATGCCAGTTTGTAATTTTAAAGAATTATTAGTTTTAATATATAAAACATTTCTACTACAAAATATTTAAGAAAGTCAACCTATAATAGAACGACTAAATATACGGTGTACCATAGGTACCCAATGTGACATAGTTTGTGATTTTGTGTTTTAATGTTTTAGTGTTTTAGTGTTTTAGTGTTTTAGTGTTTTAGTGTTTTAATGTTTTAGTGTTTTAATGTTTTAGTGTTTTAGTGTTTAATGTTTTAGTGTTTTAGTGTTTTAATGTTTTAGGAAATTTGTCCCAAATATAGTAGTTGATAACGGGTACATCATGCATGTCTAAGCCAAATGATTAAATCAGCCAGAACTGTCCTTCCAGAAATGATCTATGAAATTGCTATAGCAGCATAGCATATATTTTATTTCATCACTACACAAATAAGTGAAGGTTGTTTTTCTAATAGAAGTCTAGTTTCTTGGTTAGTCAAAATAGATTTTTTATTATCAGTGGCTGCGCGGCACTTTTGAATTGTCACATGTAGATCATCCGGGTAATTCTGGCTGATTCGATCATATTGGTTTAGACATGCATAATGTACCCGTTATTAGCCTATTATAACTACCGATCAGAGGAAATGTCCTTTAATTTTTCGTGTAATGTATCTTACTATAAGATCAACAAGCACATTTTTACGTTTCTTCTAATAAAATTAAGCACGATGTAATTTTCACTTCTATGTTAATTCCATTAAGTGCAACTTAAAACACTTTTACTTTATAATATTTATCACTCCCAAAGCTTTTCTTGTTTTAATAAAAAGCCTACCAACCTTAACGAGTCAAAAACCAAAAAAGATCTTCCGTTCAAAGATACTGCGATCCATTCGTTACTATCACTGTTACAAAAAAATTTTTTTAAGTGGTTTTAGAGTGCTGAAGGTAGAATTCTAATTTCTAATGCTTCATCAGAGTATGATAACAAAATACATAGGAAAGGCGTAAAGAAGACGTTCAAATCTACTAAAGGTGGTAATTTTTATGGACAACGATATATAACCTTTGATACTTCTATGATTATGGTGCGGGCATAGTTACAAATAAAAAAAGATATTCGAGTGGTATATTCAGTTATGTACGCAATATGGATTTATTATTAATGAAAGCAAGACGCTTAAGTAGTATTTGAAACATGCAAAAAGCGGTAATTCTGTCAAAAACTTTGATCTTGAGTATTGACAAAACTTTGCCTGATTATGGTTAATTGAGTAAAAGCAGCAGAATACTTTTCGAAGAAGATAGTTTGACATAAAAAAGCGAAAGGAAGGAATTGGAAAATATATTATTTAAATGGAAAGGTGTATTACTTTATAATAGTAATATCGGTAATTTTTCTGATATCTATTTTAATATCTTTTAATCAAATATGCATTACTAACAATTTCGTATAAATGGTATAGGGATTCATATAAGCGAGAGCATTAAACTGAAAGATTTATTTGCTTATGATAGAGCACTGAAGATTTTTGAAGTTGTTAAACAAATTATTGTTCTATTTTGGCCCTTGAGATACTGTAATTTTTTTTTGTCTGGTATTATGGAGTTTAAATGTATTAAATACATCATTTTTTAAATAATAAAAATTAAAAGATTTTTTTATTCACTTAATTTATTTTTGTGATTTCTCCAATACGTAATAACACGCTCTTTTGTCCAACCTAGATCTACGTCCTGAAGTTTATGAAGAACTTCATACAATAATTTAAAAAGAACTACAAGTAAGTAATTGAGAAAGAATTTCTTTTGTACTATTACTTGTGGGTCGGCGAATACGTTTAGAAGGTGTTTGCTTTTTTTCAGACTCATTGTTATTATTAGTAATGGTTTTACTAATTATACTATTCGTATATTTTCTTTTTTTACCTTTACCATGATTGATATTATCTGGCAAAGATGATAGTTTATATACATTTACATCGTGCCGCCTTCGACCTTTAATAACTTTTGTTTCTACTTTTAAAATTTCTTGACGATAGAGAGAATTTTGCCTATTTATTCCTTCCATATAACATGACGAAAGATGAGAATACCCTGTTTTATTTAGTTCCATTGTATTTGCAAAAAGTTCATGAGTTGTTGGGTCAGGTAGTTGGAATGCAGCTAATAGGCTTTCAGCAAGTTTCCATATAGGTTCTTTTTGTGATTATACATTACGATCCTTATTAATTGTAATTATGTCTTCTAAATATTCAGATAATAGTGTTTGTATTCTATTTCTTTCAGACTGAACTGATACTATTAGTAATTTTAATTTTTCACTATCCATTATATTTGCTTTAATGTTCTGTCGAACTTTACTCCAAAAACCTCCAATGCTTCATCAAATGCGTAATAGTGACCAGGACGTGTAAGGTTTACTGAACATACATAATTAAGTAATTCTTGTAATAAAGGATCCTTAAGAACTTGAGCTAAATAATGAGTTGATGATCGTGCATAATTGCTTTTACCAGCAACAAAAAAAAGAGGGGCAAATGCTTTCAAGGAATGAAACTGTAAATCATGATTTGCTCTTCGTATTCCTATTTTATGATTAATAACATATCCCATCTAACGAAAATACAGAAACCAAACTTTAACTATGCTATTTTTCTTTTCAATCTCACTTATAACCTCATTACGATTTTTATTTTTTAAATACTTAGTTAGTGCAATTCCTATCGCTACCCATATTAATTCTAGAACATGAAAAGTGGCATCATAATCAACTACTCTTTCAAGTTTATCTAAATGTTGGACCCCAAGAGATGCAGCAAGAGGAAAAATTTCATAGCCCGAAAAGATAGTAATTATAGTGGTACACATCGCTTTTGATGCATGCTACTGACCTAAGAGTAGTCGAATAGATTTATCTGCCTTTAAATCTTTATATAGAATTAATCTACGGAAAATCGCTTCATCAGATACAATATCTAAATATTCATTTTCTGCAAGTTGAAGGTCTTTAAAATACATTTCACAAGAATTATGTACATTCAAATCACAATTAGGTTGGTCACCTGGGGTAAGAATAACTAGATTAGGTTGGGGAACCTAACATCCTAAAGGAATATCTTTTGTAAGTTCATGATACACATTATCAATATCCCAATTACTTGAGTTTGATTCTATAAGCTTTTTAAAAATATTATCATGCTTGGAATATTGAAGTTTAATAAAGTCTGATTTACCAAACAATATATTATTACTAGCTTGTTGGTTTAAATTAGTAAAAGACTTGAGCGATCTTGGTAATGTGAATTGAAAGACTAATCATAATGTAGCATGTGAAGTGCTACGAGAATCATCGAAAATATTACCATACTTAAATGTACTTTCTTTAAAATCAATATATCAATAACTGATATATTCCAAACATTTTCACCTTTTATTAACCTTAGATTAGGATTTGCCTTAATCATTCTATTTTTTTCTAACCGTCATTCATATCATTGAGTATGTGATAACACATTTGCTGAACACAAGATACTATAAAGTGATGTTAATAATTTGGACTTGCATGCTAAAGAGCTCATTACGTGTGTAAGCCAAATATCAGTAGTTGGAAAAGCGGTAGTGAGAATAACTGATACAAAAAATATAGAAATTTTTTCTACTCGAGCTTGATCAAAAAGTTTAATTTCCAACCCTCTTTGTTTTCTTTTTTTATTTACAATA